CAGAGGGCAGGTTGTACTGGGCACTGGTATGTTGCCAATGGCCTTGGGTATTTTTGACTTTGTTTACAAAAGCAGTTGAGCGACACAAAACAGCAGTCTTTAAAATACTCTTGCTCTTTAACACATGTTCTGTAATCCTACTTTTAACGTTTCATTTAGGGAAATATTTAATGTGAAATGATTATATGTTTATGATTTAAAAAGGGGAGACAGGAGTTAGACAGTTGGTACTAGCCACTGCCTCATCAGTCACTGATAAATTGGCATTTCCTTCCTGACATTCTGTAGGATTTAGGCTTCTCTCTGCTTTTACCAAGCCAGCATAAAGAGGTTGTCTTCGCTAGCTCATTGAAACTCACAGGAGACTATGCCCCTGTCTCAGAATAGCCATTTATGAGTTTACAGTGAGAGCTGCTTTATAATTGCCACACAGAATAAGTGACCCAATGTGTCTGCACGTCATCTCCCGGGAGGAAAATGCACAAAGAGCCACCTTAGATCAGATTTTCAGTGGGTGACTGTATCAGCCTCGGCTGCCCTGGCATGGGATGAGGCTCCATGGGGCTGGGCTGGACAGAGCTGCTCATCCAAACATCTCCCTTGGACATGCTGCGGAGTTGCTGCTTGCTTCTATTTTGGGTGCACCCCTCCCCAACGCCTTTTCTTCACTCTTTTTTCTTGCGTTATGGGAAGACCATGGTGTGAGATGTGACCGAATCCGGCTCCAGTCTGACACTTCCTGCCTGCCGAGCAGTCTGTACCTAACCATTGTATATGTAGGCATACATGTGTAGTCACATCCACATATACGTTGTGTCTATATGTATGGTTACGTGTGTCACACTCCACTGGGCAGAGGGGGGTCATCATCTGAAGTGTCCATAATGGCTTCGTGGGAAAAAAATCAATCTCTAACCATAACAGAACAATTGAGTAGACCATTACATCTGTAAGAACACAGAAAGCACTAACTTTGTCAGTTCCCCCCTCCCATCCTGTTGGTCCCCTCTTCTCCTTCCACTCTCTGCCACTGCCTCCAAGCCACACAGCTTTCTTCTTGCCTGGGTTACCGTCAGTCTCCTCTCCAGTCTGCATTCTAACTGGTTGGGTCTCCCATCGGGCCTCAGAGCACACAGGTGACACAATCTCTCTGAATGCAGATTTCACTGTGCCATCTCTATCTAAAACCCTTGATTGTCCTGCTCTTGGGGTGTGGGTTAGGAGGTGGGTGTTATTATCTGGCCAGCGTCACCTTCTATCCTCAGTTCTCTGACACCACCCACACAGTACTTGTCTCAGGCTCTTCTGCCCTGCACGTTCCACACACCCGGTTTATTTCTTAACAACTCCCATCACTTCAGGCATCATTCAGTGTCGCTTCCTCTAGGCAGTTTGGCTACCACTTGCTTGGTCACCAGTGACCAGTTCCCTGTGCCAGCTCACTGGCCTCATTCTAGCACCCCTGCCTGTTTACTGCTGCTTCCTCTTTGAAACGCCTTCTTTTGTCTGTTATCGCCAGGTTCTTGCAAGCTTTGTTTCTGACTTTTTATTCTCTTTACAGCCTCCTCTTTCTCTGACTCCCCAAATTTTCACACAGATTCTCAAATCTTTACCTCCACCCAGTTCTGAGTTTTTCAGCTGCCTGTGGACCTTTCTACCTGGATATCCCACATCCAGCATTTCTAAAACTAAAACTGTCTACCTTCAACACCTGTTTGTTTTTGCCTTCCCTATTTCAGTTTTATGGCGTCACTCCTGCAGAGCAACCAGCTAGATATCTTGGCATGAGTTGTTTCTTCCTTACCCTCCTCTCAAAGCTTTAGGAATCCCTGGCCTTCCTGACCATTTTCAGTGCCATGCAGTACCCCAGGTCTTCTTTTCTTAGTGGCAGAGATGCCAGTAACTACCCCACTCTCACCCCCAAGGCATTTATTTCTTCAGAAAACATGACCATCTCCTTTATGCAGGGGATTAGCTAGGCACAAAGTGGGTGGAGCCCTGCCCTTTTAACACTTACACCAAGTGAGGGCGTGCTGAAATGACTGCAGGGTTAGCCTTGGAAACTAGAGGAGAGTGGGGCCATTTACTGAGATAGCGTGCTGGTATGTTTCTTCCTGGACATACTAAATTTGAGAAACGTGGAAAACATCATCTATTATCCAAATTGTTTGTAGAATTAATACATCTGATTCTGGCATAGTATTTATTTTATTTAAGAGTGTGGGTTCTGGTGTTAGACTGCCCCGTTTAAGTCCAGGCTCTGATGTTTACGGGTTGTGGACTTTGGGCAAATTGCTTAATCCTTGATCATCCTCAGCTCCCTTGCGTGTGAAATGGTGACCATAATAGTACCTGCCTCCTTATTGGGTGATAGGTGGGGTTACAGGAGCTGGTGTCTGGAAAGCACAATGCCTTGTGCAGAGTGGAAGTAATCTCTAAGTTTCAGCTGTTGTTGGTGGCCTCTATCACCTGCATGATCCAGAATCCTTGGTAGTTGGTGAGGGCTACCTTTCCCATGATCCTGAGCCTCCCGTCCACACGCTGCACTTCAGCCTTCCCGCACTGGTCTGCTGGGAATTCCCTTTTCTTCCCACCTCCATTCTCTGGTGAAATCCAACCTCTTTGTAGATTTCCCTAAGGCTAGCCTTCCAACTTCCTGTGTCCTGACCCTTGCTATCCCCAAAAGGAAAAAACAATTTGGAACGAATTGCTGGATTGGCTTTGGGCGTGGAAGGGCATGGAGAATGAGGAAGCTCTGCGGAAGCAGCAGTGGTCTCGCTGGAGCTGCAGGGTTGCAGGAGGATGGTTTCAGAGAGCAGGGGGGTTGTGCAGGCTGAGGAACACAGGCACCTCCGGGATAGTCATAGGACACAGCTTTAACAACCATGTTTGAAAGCCTAAAAATTAACCAAGTAGGAGGCAAGAGGCTTATGGAACAACCAAGGTCTGTGCGTTAGATTATTTCCCTTTGCTCAACAGACAGATCTGTCCCTCTTCTGTCCGTGACGTTTTGATCAGATTCTTCTCAATTCTGAGGCACACCATTGAGGCAGATAATTTTTCCCCAAAAAAACTATATCATGGGTATACACCAAATATAAGACACTTCTTGGGATCAGAAACATAAATGTACGTGTTAGAATCCAGGAAGTGTGGTAGATCTGGGCCTGTCGTGTGATCTGGTTTTGTGAGTCCTAAGGAACTGTTGGGGCACCTCCCCCTTCTGTTCAAACCAGGTGGACTGTTTTCTTCCTGGCCAGAACCTCTGCCTTGAATGCCCATCTGCGTTGAAGGCTCACTGGGTGAGATATTGCCTTAGAAAACATTTGTGCCGTTATTGAGTGATAGCACCTGTGGCCCCCTGGTATGGGCTCGCCTGAGGGCTATCAGGAGATGCCATGCCGTCTACCATAGAGTGACACATTGAAGAGGTTATCCCCCAAAACACTTAGGGTCAGAGCGGATAATGAGGTGCCAGGGGAGCAGGCATGCACGGATGCAGACCACCAAGTGCTGGAGAAAGGCTCAGCTGGCTGAGCAGTCCCTTTAAAGGGCCTTCTCCTGAGAAGCCTTCTTTGGCCTCTCCTTGTCCTCCTGTGTTTCTGTCACTCTTTCACACCTAGCTCTTATATCTGTTACGGCACCTGAGCTGCCTGCCAGCAACCCCCTCCACCCCCTTCTCCCTCCTCTGGACTTGGAGCTGGTGGCTTTGTTTATTCATTGCTGTATTCCCAGGGCAAGCGCCATACTGATAAGTGAATGAGAGGGGAGGAGACATGCCTGTTCCTTTTAAAGCTGGATTGGGTACAGCGTTACACAGCATTTTAGAGGTGGAGCTGTGCAGTGGGCAGTGCATTTGGAGAGACTGCAAGGCTGGTATTAGAGGAACAGTCAGTGATGTCAGCCCACAGTCCTTGGGCCTTTGCAGCACTATTCCAGGTGTTCTTGGTATTAACTCCTGTAATCCTCACACACCCGTTGAGGAGATGCTGTCCTGTTTTATAGGTAAGGAAATGGGGCACAGAGAAGTTCAGTGCCTCGCTGAAGGTCACAAGTGGTTGTTTGGAGGCATCTGACTCCAGTCCAAGCTGACCAGCCCTGGAGATGTGCTCTAACTGGAAGGCCACTTGGCCTCCACAGGTCATGCTTAGGAGTTAGGGCTTGATGGGGAACCAGGTAAAGGCTGCCATGGTCAGTTATGTCTTAAAAGATGGGTCGGCAGAAGGGTTGAGTGGTACCTGGAGGTGGGAGATGTGTTAGGAGAAGGTAACAGCACTGGAGATGAAAAGAAAGATAGAATTGACAGTGGTCCTGTCAGCTCTGCTGCCTTGATGCCTCTCAAATACATCTCCTCTTCAGCTCCAAGGCCATTGTCCTAGTCCAGTGGTTCCCATGGTATGGCCTCTGGAGCTGCACCATCAGCATTGCCTGGGAACTTGTTAGAAATGCAAAATTTTGAGCCCTGTCCCGTACCTGCTGAATCATAAACTCTGGTTTAACAAGCCCTTCAGTTGAGCCTGGTGCAGGCTCAAGTTTGAGAACCACTGTCCCTGTCGACTTTCCCTTGGTCCCTCAGCCTTGCCCTGAGCTCAGGGTTTGCCCCACTAGAAACCCGTCTTTGCCCCTTCTACACTGATTACACGCTGACTCCTGGCTCCATGTTTTTGCTCCTCATTTGCTTCCTTACCCACTGCAGCCCCGACACTGAATTTACTGTGGTTAGCCGCGACCTCCCAGTGGGCCCTGAATGAAATCCAAGGGCTTCTCCTTCTCCACCAGCCTCTGCAGCTGCTGCTTTCTCTGCCCTTCCTGGAACCTCCTGCTCAGCTTCCTGATCCACAGTTTCTTGCCTCTTCTCCACTCACCTGGTGCCACTGACAGAAATGTCAGCTGAGCACACAGGGCGAACTGAGGCTCTCGTCTCCTCAGTTCAATTATGAGCTCCTCCAGAGGGTGACAGTGAAGTCGTGGGAAGAGCCGGAGGCTCTGGGCTCTGCTCTGGCCCTGTCCATTCCTGGTTGTGAGAAGTTGGTGAGGTCATGGGTGGTAGTTCTGATTCTCTTGTCTTTTCCTAGCCGCTAGCATAGTGCTATGCCAGGGTTTCAGCAGCCAGAAAGGAGGGCAGGAGGTGGCATAATGGTTCCAGTCGCAGGCTTTGGGGTCATTTAGTTCGGTATTCTACAAAAATGCTTACTTCCTAAGCAGAATGTGGGATTAAGGACATAAATTGCATAAAGTGGTCACCAAAGCATGCAGCTGACAGAAAGGACCGGTCCGCGCTTTAACTTTGTTGTTGATGATGCAGGTGGCAGCATTTACCAACTTGATACCTTTGTTTTTCAGGGATTGGATACTGGAAATCTCTTGGACTACAAATTCCTGTGCTAGCCAGAGGATGAGTAACCAGTGGGCATGAGCAGTTGACGACATTTGACTTCCCTGCAAACCTTGGTGTAGGTCACTTCCTTCTCTTAGGTTGGAGCCAGAAAGCACAATGAGTACGGTGAGTTTTATCAGCTCATGAATTTTATTATTTTTTTCAAGGCTAAGCAACTACCTTATTCCTTGTGGCACATTAGTGAGAGTACCATAAAGGTGCTTCTTAGTAACCCTAGTTCTTGAAGGAGTGTGTATGGGACCTTCCGGTAGTTACACCAGCTTTCTTGTCTAGAGTAAGTCCAGTGTCTTGGGTGGTGCCCTGAAGACAGAAGGCTGAGAAGTTTTGAAATTTTATACTTCCAGAGCAGCTATCAATGTCCTAGAAATATTAGGGCTCTGATTTATTTAATCGTTTACAGGCCAATTTCCCATTTTCCTTTCTATTTCTTCTCCCTGTATAGCTCTTGGTCCAGTGTGAGCATAGTGGTAATAATCCTTCGTGAGAGTTTTCTTACATTCAGTGACCAAAGTTGGTAAGTCATTGTAACTGCTGTTTAGAGCTTTTATCAGACTGCAGAGGCAGCTCTGGATTGCTGTAACCCAGATGTCACCTGGAGCCCCTTGAGCTCCAGAGAAGATTGCCTGGAGGTCTCCCCCATTTTACTCCCTACTAACAACTGCTCATATGATGTAAACTCAAAACAGCTATTTTCTGAGATAGTGAATTCACATCAGGTGGACCAGATGTGAATCAGTCGCATATTCTCTTTCCAGGTTCCAAAGGTGCTGTGAATGGTGTTGGGAAGATGAGGAGGCAGGATGAGGCTAAACAAACAGCTCCCAGGGTGAACAGTTATAGAAATGCTGTAGATTCTGTTCACTGGCCCCCTCCCCCACCCTTTTCCTGACCACTCCCAGCCCCAACTGTGCTCCAGGCCCACTGTTGATAATCGTACACAAAAGGGCCTTTGTTTCCCTGGACCTGCCCTTTGAAAAGACAGATTGCCAGTGCAGCTCACCTGTAAGGAAACAGATGTCAGATGGCCGGAGCCTGGGCACCTCACCTCTGAAGCCCATGCTCTGCCCAGGCAGGATCTGGCCAGACAGAGCAATGTAGCCTTTTATGAGAGTGTGTGAAGAAGTTGGTTAAAATTTCCTCAGGATGGTGTAAATCACTTAGGTAGTAGTGGTTGGGTGGTGAGTTTTAACTGAAAGCTGTGAACCTCTGAGGGCTCTGCTAGTAAAAAGGAGGAGAGCCATGACAAATAATAGGAGGGCAGAGAGAAGAGTCTGCAGATATCCTGGGGTTTCTTGAGCCTGGCCCAGAGCTCACAGTCAGCTCCTCCCTGCCCTTAGGGAGTGCAGGTGGAGGAGGAGGTGGAGTAGCAGTACAGGAGGCCTCTTGGGAGGATGAGGGATGTCCTCATAATGGAGGTGACATTTGAGTAGGTTCCTGAAAGCTAAGAATTGGCCAAGTGAAGGAGGGATGGGACAGGTAATCCAGGCTGGGAAGAAGGCCAGGTTAAAGGCATGGAGGGGCCGAAAGAGCAGCCAAGAAAGAAGATTGCTGTGGGGGTTGGGAGTGGTGGGCATTACGGCAGTGTCCGTGATGGGGTGTTCAGGGTCCAACACCTGGCCTTCACCTGCTGCTTGCCTCCCTCAGCGGAGACCAGAAACCACGCAGGTAGCTGTGGTGGGGCATGAAGGGTTTTGTTAAGAAGTGTCTGCTAAGAAAGATTTGATCCTTTTCAGAGGAAGGAAGATACAATAACGAGAGAGAATGGGGTAAAAGTTAAGGAGCCCCAAGTAATGTGGTGGCTGCTAGGGAAATCCATAAACCTGGGGTGGAGGACTCAACTGAGGCTGGAGTGTCAGCTGCCTCTAGGGACAGAGCAGCTCCTCCCTGGAGAGTTTTGAACTACTGCTGTCACTTGCCATTGGGCTCTCCTCGGGATGGTTCCCTGGCTCCATAAGATCCCTGAGAAGTTACTAAATCCAGCTCCGTTTCCAAAACTCCTCGAGCTGCCATTTGATATAGAATCAGGCTCCTCTCTTGCTTAGGGAGGATTGAGCCAGGTGCTGGGTGCTCTTGGGTCTTGTGCACATCTCACCGATATTGTCTAGTTCTTCCAGAGTTACCAGGGGCAGAAGGCCTAGTAAGGAGTTAGGGTAGTAACAGCATCTTGTGTCTGCGTTCAGCACTTTACATGCATTATGTCGTCTAATCCTCAGGACAGCTCTTCGAGACTAGTATGGTGAGGAGGTTTAGACTTAGGTCATCCAGTGAGAAGCAGGACAGGGCAGAGGGAAGAAGGAGCACAGACACATAGGGAGCCAGGATTAGTTGGGGCGTACAGGGTGGGAACAGCAAGGTGACAGCCTCAGTTGGGAGGTTCTGTCTCTCTTGAGGAAGGCTGCGGGGGGCACGTTCTCACCTTGTCTTTCAGGGCCAACCAGGTCAGAAATGCTGGATCATATTGATAATGCAGCAGCTCAAGGATGTGGAAGGAAGAAAGGCTGGTTCAGAGAGTCTGGGCTGCAGATGGGCTGGTTGAGAGCCTGAGCCTTCCAGAAAGCATGGCTCTCAGGCAGCTACTGGGCACAGGCTGTAAAAGTTTTTGGTTCTTTGAGCTGTGGGAGGGTGATCGTTAGGGAGTAAACCACACTTGATAGTATCCTAAAAAGTTAGGCTAGATTTCCCAAAGACAGACCCGCTTTCCACGGTGGATAGAAACTGAAGGTCTTTGGTCTGACAAACAAACAGGGCTCAAATGAGGCCAAACACAAATCCAAGGAAGATAGGTCTGTAACTTCTGGTTAAAAGAAGGGGTTTCCAGCCAAATCCCGGCCTAGATCAGACTCTTCTATAGAGTTGTGTGTCTTGTACTTTTGACAGACCCATAGTTTGGTATAATAAAGTTTTGCTTTATAAAATTTGTATTCACTGTATGTTTTGGGTGATTTCTCTCTAAACATTTAGTGTTCTAGAAACTCAGGTTTTGAAAGGACACTACCTTAGGTCTGCTCACTGGCCTCCTCTACTTAATGAGTTGAACTATTCCCATGTCAGCTTTTTTATTTTTCTTGCTGAAATCATATCAGTCAGGAGCTCGTGTAACTTTTTCTTTTCCCCTGGATACCCTCAGAGAAAGCGTCGTGGCGGGACAGTAAATTCTAGACAAGCCCAGAAGCGAACTCGGGAAGCAGCCTCCACCCCTGAGATGGCCTTGGAAGCAGAACCCATAGAACTCGTGGAAAGCAGTAAGATCGCCAGGGACACTGTGACCATGGGATGTTGGGGTGGTGCAGTGTGCATAGGTGTGGGTGAGCACACATGCTGGAGCCCGTTGATCCCCAGCACTGCCTTCTGTCAGCCAGGGGGCCTTGTGCAAGTTACGCAGCCTGTCTGAGCGTCAGTTTCCTCATCTGAAATGGGGGATAATACTAGTAATCTGCTACATAGAGTTGTCTCCCCAGCACTTCCTTCTGTTAGCCAGGGGGCCTTGTGCAAGTTACGCAACCTGTCTGAGCCTCAGTTTCCTCATCTGAAATGGGGGATAATACTAGTAACTTGCTACATAGAGTTGTCATAAGGCTGAAATAAGTCAATAGCGTAAAACACTTACAACAGTGCATGCTTGGCGGATAACACTTACTGGTACGTTACCATTCAGCCTTCTGGGAATGCCCAGCAGGGGAGGGGAGACTGCCCTGGGCTCACCTTTTCTATTTGAAATTGTGTGTCCAATTTGCTTGGCCTTTTGAACTACATAACTTTCCTCTTCTCTTTTTCATTAAGATAAAAAATTGCCCAAGAAGGCAAACTTGTTGACAGAGTGCGTGTGTTGGAGGGAGTTTGGTATAGGCAGAAGCCAGACTGGATTTTTCCCCTTCTGCCTGCTCAGGGAGGTGACAAATGGCCTGAATTGAGTCCCTTTGCTCTGCATATATTGAGATTGTTCTTATTACTATGATGCCCAAAAGCTGACATTTAAAGAGAAGCAGCTTGCTCTCGGCCTTAGCACCATCTTCCTAAAGAGAAGCAGCTTGTCTGAGATATATGTCATGGGCCCTTCAGAGTAGTGAAGTTCTCACTGTTGTCTCTGTGGTCTCTCAGTTTCACTTCTAACCGTGAATTCCTAAAAGCCTGGAGGCTGAGACCCTGGCCTGCTCTCCTTGGTGTCCGAATTCTGCCATCCTTCAGGAGAGGCTGGTGCAGGAGGCTTCTTGGTTGGGACACTGAACACACAAGCAGTCTCCTGAAGGGCTCAGGATCTCAGGCGTGGGAAAGATCTGATTGCTTTCTGATGCAACATTTCTCATCCTACAGGCAGCCTTACCCCTGTAAGCAGGGCCTTATGCACAAGCTGCCTGCTGGAGTATTGTTCCTCATTTCTTTAAAATAATTAAGTTATATTGTATAAATTACATTGAACATCTCTGAGATATTGTGGTTTTTATTCCTGTGAAACTTTTAATACAATAAAATAAAACAAGTTTGAATATACTAAATGTATTACATGTCACTTTCCCCAAACAAATATTAAACAAATACTGTTTCTAAAAATCCTACCCTCATAGTTATTAATAATAATAATAGAAGCAAAAATGATTGTAAATCTTTTTTCAGTTTATCTAAGTAGAAATTGTACTCTGCCCTGCATTCCCACCTGCCAGACTTAAGTGCCCATAACTGTTTGGCACACATCCTTTTGTGTTCATGTAGACACTGCAATATACCCTAGAGCTCAAAGGCAAGCTACAGAGCAAGTTGGGAAGCACTTGAGACCTAAATGGAAACTAAAATGTAACTGATGAAGGTGCAGAGCTAAGCGTGACTTGAGGTCTGTGGGCGAGTGGCAGCCGCCAGCTTCTCCTGGTGGGGGGCAAAGATTTCAGGTGGGTCCATCCCAAAGAGAAAGGCCTTGAGCCGAGCATGCCTCATTCCTTCCTCAGATGCCCCTGCCACCAGCCCCAGGTGAGTCGCTGCCTCTGCTCTGTGAAGGAGCAGGTGGGGGCATGGAGGCCTAGCCGTGTAGCAGTGTGAGGCCACAGGGATAGAGGTGTGCCACGTGCACAGAAGCCCCGCCTCCCCCCCCCCCCCCCACCGTGGTCTATTTGTAAAAACCGTACACCGCCACTCACAGAAAAATTCTGAAAGGGCATTCATTGGCCGTTACCCCTGAAAAAGAGATTGGTCTTAATGCTCTTTGCATTCTGTACTTCAGGGGTTTAAGTTTCTTTGTAATCATATTAATGAAGCTTGGAGCAGTATGCACTTACTTTCCTCCTAATGCTGTTAAAATGCTTTGTTTTGAAGCTGGTGACGAAATAGTGGACCTCACCTGTGAATCTTTAGAGCCTGTGGTTGTCGACTTGACTCACAATGACTCTGTCGTGGTAAGTGTTGGAGCGTGAGAGTTGGCACTTCCTTGACTTTGGGTCCCTGGCCAGCACTGACGTCTGAAGGCCTTGGTCATAAGTTACGACTTGTGCCGAAGAAACTCATGCATTCGGTGACTGGAGCCCAAGATGGGAAAAGTTTCAGGAAAATCATTTGTTGTGCCTTTGTTGCCTGTGGACAGTAAATCTGTGTGACCCTGACCTTTCCACAGCTGGCACAAAAGCCATCTGAGGAGAACTCTGAGGCCATCTCTCTTTAGTCTCTGATTCTACACTTTATATCAGCTGTGTGACCTTGGGCAAGTTACTTAGCCTCGTTCACATTGTCTGTAAACTGGGGATATGCCATCCATGTCAATAGGGTATTGTGAGGATTAAAAGAGATCCTGTATTTGAGTGCCTGGCACCTAGGGTGGTGCCCAGTAGATGTGAGTTTACACCTTCATAGCTGGTAGGAACGGGAATATTTGTTCAGCACGACCAGTGGGAAATCTATTGAGTTCCAGGAGCAGCTGCCTTGGAGGTTGCAGGTACCCTGCATTGCCACCTGATGCCTTGGTTGTGCTGTGACTCTAGGGAGGATGGAGCCTGGAGCCTGGGAGGCTGCTTGTGCCCCTTTCCCATGGCCCTAATTATGGACTCTGGCAGGGAGTGCACATGCCCAGTCTGTGGCCCTCAAGGAAGGAGACCTGGTCTGGTCAGAGGACAAGCTGAGAAATTGTTCTGGCAGACCTGCTCCACGGTGCAGGGGGTGCACACCTGTGCGTGGGTCTGGGAGTCTGGTCAGCCCATGGACCTGCATCCTAAGGGAGCGTTTCCCTCTCTCGAGGATGCCTCTTGAGCGCATTTTGTTATAGTGTGCAGTTTGTGGAGTGGAGGTGATGACATTTGACAGTGTTGGGCAAGTGGGAGGCAGGTGCTGCTGAGGACTGTGGTACAGTGGGGCAAGTCAGAGTTGCTAGTAGCTGAGTCTTCCATTGGCCTTGGGGCCCACTGGTCTGGGGTTATCCTGACTGCTTAGAATTTCAGAATAGAGTTGCACTGAGAAGCTTCAGGACTTCTTTAAAAGAGGAAAAGGGCAAAGATGAGACTGTCTTGACAGATTTAGAGATTTAGACTCTGGTCTTGGTTTGAAAACACTGGGCTGTCCTGTTGTGTGTCTGTGTCCATCCTCTCATGCACACCCCCAGCCCCCCACCACATCTCAAAGGAAAGGCCGAGCTATTAAACTGCCCTCAGAGATCATGGAGGAATGCTCGGGGGAACATTGACTCCCAAATAGGAGCTGGTAGTTTCCCTGGAGATCAGTTGGAACTTTCTAAGTCGGAGTGGGTTTAGGCGCAAGTGTTCCCTGCTAGGGTCTGATGAATGTGTTTTCTGAGGTACATATATGCAGGCAGCTTTGCTGCTGGTCCCTGTGCGAGTGTGGAAAGATAGCTTAATTTGGTACCTTGGCTAGAGCCTGCATCCCAGTTGCTGATTAACACTTAAAAGGAGTGTCAAGTCCTTATTTTCTCCAATCCTCAGTGTCCCCCTACAGTGTGCCAGGCCCTGGAGAGATAGCCAGGATTCTGCTCGCAAGACCTCACTTCCTACCCTCGAGGAGACTATGATTGGCTTCTGTTGGGTGACAAACTGACATCACGATGTCCCTTCCACACCTTGGTTTTGTTTTGATGACTAGGCTGCTCTTGCTACAGGGGCTTCTTCCCTAGCTTTCCTACCTTCTTCCTGTTTCCCCAGGTGTGGAACGTCATCGGGAGACACAGGGACAGGAATGTTGGAGTTGGGGGAGCTGTCATGGGAGTGGGTGGACAGCCAGAGGCAGGCAGATAGGTAAAGGGGAGACTGGCTTGGGAGGCAGGAATCCTGGGTTCTGGTCCCAGATGTACTGGTCAATTTGGTCAGAGGACTTACCTTACCGTGGCCTCAGTGTTTCCAGCCATAAAATACAGTTATATGCGCCGCATAATAACATTTTGGGCAACAGACCGCATATGTGAAGGTGATCCCGTAAGATTATAATGGAGCTGAAAAATTCCTGTTGCCTAGTGACTTCATAGCCGTCGTAGCGTCGTAGCGCAGCACATTACTTGCATGTTTGTGGTGATGCTGGTGTAAACAGTCTCCTGCACTGTCAGTCATATAAAAGTGTAACATATACAATTATGTACAGTACATAATGATAATAAATGACTGTTACTAGTTTATGTATTTACTGTACTATACTTTTTATCATTGTTTTAGAGTGTATTGTTTCTGTTTTAAAAAAAAAAGTTAACTATAAAACAGTATGCCATGTTACGCCAGCAGCAGCCTCATACATCTTGTGCTTACCGTGTCTCTTGTTTGCATCATTTTCTCTTGTGCTTGATTTAATCTCATGTTGTTTTGTTCATTATGGCCCCTAAGCGTCCAAAATCCACTGCTAATGTTGCCAGTAAGAGGCCACGTCGAGTGATCGACCTTGAAACGAAATTAAAAGTGATTAAGGACTACGAAGGTGGAAAATCAGTGATGGTTATTGCTCGCCAGTCAGGCATGTCCCATTCCACCGTAGCTACGATCTTGAAGAACAAGAACAAAGTGATGGAAGCTATTAAAGGATCTGCTTCACTGAAGGCAACAAGACTAACAAAAATTCGAGAAGGACCTATATCAGACATGGAGAAACTTCTGATGGCCTGGATTGAGGACCAGATACAGAAGCGTATCCCTCTAAGCACCATGATGATTACGGCCAAAGCAAAAAGTTTGTTTGCAATGTTGAAGGAAAAGGCTGGACCCGACTACGACGTTGAATTTACTGCTAGCTCTGGGTGGTTTAAACGATTCAAAAATCGTTATTCATTACATAATATGAAAATGAGTGGTGAGTCTGCGAGTGCTGATGTAAAGGCAGGTGAAGAATTTTTGGAGACTCTAGAGGTGGTCCCTAAGGAATTGACTAAAGAGGAGTTGTTGGAACTGGAACAGAAATACATAGCTGAAGAAGAGGTAAGAGAAAAAGAAACTGCAGGAGAAGAAAAAGAAGAACCCCCAAGAAAATTCACAGTGAAGGGTTTAGCAGAAGCTTTTACAGACCTCAACAAGCTCCTTAAAAAGTTTGAAGACATGGACCCCAATACTGAAAGGTTTGCAGTAATAGAGAGGAATGTTCATGGTGCATTATCTGCTTACAAGCAAATCTATGATGAAAAAAAGAAACAAACCAAGCAAACTACCATGGACATATTTCTGCAAAGAGTGACACCTCCTCAAGAAGAGCCTCAGGCAGGTCCTTCAGGAGGTATTTCAAAAGAAGGTATCATTATCGGAGGAAATGACAGCTCCATGCCTGTTATTGCCCCTGGAGACCTTCCAGTGGGACAAGATGTCAACATGGAAGGCAGTGATATTGATGATCCTCACCCTGTATAGGCCTAGGCTAAAGTGTGTGTTTGTCTTAGTTTTTAACGAAAAAATTTGAAAGGTAAAAAAAATTTTTTTAAATAGTAAAAAGCTTACAGAGTAAGAATATAAAGAAAATATTTTTGTACAGCTGTACAGTATGTGTTTTAAGAAAAGTGTTGTTATAAGAGTCAGAAAGTTAAAAAAAATTTTAAAGTTTGTAAAGTTACAATAAGCTAAGGTTAATTTATTATTGAAGAAAGAAAAATATTTTTTAATAAATCTTATGTAGCCTAAGTGTTCAGTGTTATAAAGTCTATAGTAGTGTCCACTGATGTCCTAGGCCTTCACATTCACTCACCACTCACTCACTGACTCACCCAGAGCAACTCCCAGTCCTGCAAGTTCCATTCATGCATGGTAAGTGCCCTATACAGGTGTACCGTTTTTTTCTTTTATACTGTATTTTTACTGTACCTTTTGTATGTTTAGATATGTTGAGATACACAAATACTTACTATTGTGTTACAGTCGCCTATAGTATTCAGTACAGTAACCTGCTGTACAGGTTTGTAGCCCAGGAGCAATAGGCTATATCCTATAGCCTAGGTGTGTAGTGGGCTATACCATCCAGGTTTGTGTAAGGGCACTCCATGATGTTCGCACAACGACGAAATCACCTAATGATGCGTTTCTCAGAACATATCCCCATTGTTAAGCGACGGACGAATGACTATAATTGTTTTTGGACTTAATAGTACTTCTTATTCTAATCATTCTCCACTTTTTGTTGTTGTTCATTTTAATAAATCCAAATGCCAGTTTTTAAATTTACAGTGAGAAATACACCTGAGGCTGAAAAACTCACCCCCTATGCAGATCTACTTGGAAAACCTAACAGTATTAACTGAGGACAAGGTGCATCTATTAGATGAATTACAGTTCAGGGTGACCTCAGGCCTTGCCTGCAGGAGAGTGTGAAATGGATGACTGTATCCATTCCCAAACTGATGTGTTCTTACCAGTTCCACCAGAAACTGTGGGAACAGGCTAAGTGTACCCCACTTGAGCCCCGCCCAGGAGTAGCTCTGTATCCTTAAGACAGGAGTTCCTGCGTACGAGGATCCAGGGACGGCTTCAGAACTTTGGTGAACCTTTTTAAGAACAGATGAGAACCTTTACACGGACTCTGTTTTTCCAGCTCACCAAGGAATCCAAAGCCCCCAGTGAATTAGGAGAAATAAAAAATGCTATAAGATGCAATAAGACTTTGTACATCTCTGCTTCGATACTTTTCCTCAAAATTAACTTTTATTTTTGGCATTGCATATCCAAAAAAGGCCATCACTGCTGAGTCTCAGGGTATGTATATCTTTGATTTTTACTAGATTAATGCCAAACTGTTTTCCAAAGAGGTTGTACCACCACTTGACTTTTAGCGGGTCTAATGGTTGCCTAGTGGTATCGCATTGTGGTTTTAGTATTTTCCTGATTACTGTTGGGATTGAACACCTTTTTATCTTTATAGGTGGTTCATTTTTCTCTTTTGGAAGTGCCTGTTTGAAGCTTTTTTTGTTTTTGTTTTTTTACCCACATATTGTACATACAGCTTTTAAAATAGCTTAAGAAATGGAACTAGAACAAAGCAATCTCTGTCTTTTTTTTTTTTTTAATAGTGAATCTTTTCTCCTACTCATTTTTCCATTTGGTTTTCTGCCTTGTCCTGTTGTTTTAGGCATTCTTTATAAGTTTTAAATATAAGTCTGCCATTAGGTTTGCTTTGTATCTTCTACTCAGAGGCTTGGCTTTTCTCTTTTTGGTTTATGTGCAGATGTTCTTAATACAATTTAATTTATCACTTTGTTGAAGAAAATGCTATATAGTAAAAATAAGTTTCTGTATTCCAAAAGTTTTACCGTTTTGGGCCGGCCCCGTGGAGTAGCGGTTAAGTGCGTGCGCTCCGTTGATGGCAGTCTGGGTTCGGATCCTGGGCGTGCACCGATGCACCACTTGTCAGGCCATGCTGTGGCAGCGTCCCATAGGCACGGATGTTAGCCCAGGGCCACTCTTCCTCAGCAAAGAAAGAGGAGGATTGGCATGAATGTTAACTCAGGGCTGATCTTCCTCACAAAAAAGTAAATAAAAGTTTTACTGTTTTGCCTTTCACATTTAGGTCTGTAATCCACATGAATTGACTTTTGTCTATTGTTTGAGAATGGGGGTCTTTAAGGCCTCTCATAAAATTTTATAATGTTCCCTGTAGTGGTTTTGCAAGTCTTTTGTTAGATTTGTTCCTAGGTATATAGTATTTTAAGATGCTATTAAAAATAGTATTTTAGGGGCCGGCCTGATGGCGCAAGCGGTTAAGTGCGCGCGCTCCGCTGTGGCAGCCGGGGGTTCGCAGGTTCGGACCCCAGGCCTGCACCGACGCGCTACTTGGCAAGCCATGCTGTGGCGGCGTCCCATACGAAGTGGAGGAAGATGGGCATGGATGTTAGCCCAGGGCCAGTCTTCCTCAGCAAAAAAAAAGAGGAGGCTTGGCAGATGTTAGCAGAGGGCTGATCTTCATCACAAAAAAAAAAAAGTATTTTAAAGTTTCATTTTCTTTTTTGTTTTTATTATTTGCCAATATAAAGAAATACAATTGATTTTATCTATTGATTTTTCTTTTTTTAATCTAGCAATTCTCAATCTGTGTATCTTTTGGATTTCTGTGTACAAGGAACAAGTTTTGGTTCTTTTCTATTTCATTTTTTTCTTGCCTTAATGCACTTGCTAAAAAATTCAGCACTAGCTGAATAAAAATGGTGACAGTCACAAATACTCTTGTCTCATTCCAGATCTGAAAGAATCCTTTCAAAGTGTCACCAATAAATAAGACCTCTGCCATGGGGGGGTTTTTTTGGTTTGTTTATACCCTTTATCAAATTGAAGAAATTCCTCTCTATCTCCTGTTTGGCTACAAGTTTCATTGTGAATCAATGCTGAATTTTAACAATTCCATCTAATGATAACTTTTCCCCTTTCATATGTTGAAGTGGAGAATTAGATTGGTTTTTAGTCTTAAACCAATTAAACATTGTAGTTGTGACATCTGTTTATGTATTGCTAGATTCAGTTTGCTAATATATATGATTTTTGCATGTATTTTTATGAGTAGGATTGGTTGATCTGTAATTTTTCTTTTGTACACGTTCCTTATAGGGTTTTGGTATCAGAGTATTGGTATCTTTGTAAATAAGTTGGGTACCCTTTTTTTCTATTCTCCAGAAGATTTTGTAAGATTGGAATTATTTCTTCCTTGAATATTTGGTAGAACTCTACAGTGAAGGTACCTAACCTAGAGTTTTAATGAGTTTTGGTAATTACAATTTTTAGGAATTTGTAGATTTCATCTAAAATTTTCACTTTTATTGGCATAGATTTGTTCGTAATGCTTTATGTTCTGTGGAATCTGTAGTGATGTTTCCTTTTTCATTTCTGACATTGGTTATTTGTGTTCTCTATCTTTTTAAATTAGTATCACCAAAGCTTTATGAGATCTTTCAAAGAACCAGCTTTTAGCTTTGTGGATCCTTTCTCTTCTCAGTTTGTTTTCATTTATTGATTATTTCTTTCTTTATTTATTTTGCTCTTTTTCTGACTTACTGATTTTTATCATTTCTAATAAATGCATTTAGGATTATATTTTCTTATTGTATAGGTTTGTTATTGGTGTTTTACATTCAATTCAACACATTTATCAAATTTGTATTTCTTCCAAACCTATGTTGGCTTTCTAATTTTTTTTTGATACTGATTCTTTGCATTATTGGTCAGAAAATACGTTCTGTGTGTCAGTTCTTTGATGTTTTCTGAGACTTCCTTTAAGCCTGGCCTGCACAGGGTGGCTGGCCTTCACTGGATAACCTGCCCCACAGCTCCTGCCTGGGCTTTGATTTCTCTGTCAGGCTTTGGAAAGTAGGCTTTAATTTTTCAAGAATCTTCTGTGCTTTTTTCCTTTGGATTATTGTATTCCCTTCACTTTTGATCAGATAGGGTTTTTTGTTTTTTTTCTTTTTTCTTCCCGAGGAAGATCAGCCCTAGCCAACATCCATGCCAATCCTCCTCTTTTTGCTGAGGAAGACCGGCTCTGAGCTAACATCCATTGCCAATCCTCCTCCTTTTTTTCCCCAAAGCCCCAGTAGATGGTTGTATGTCACAGCTGCACATCCTTCTAGTTGCTGTATGTGGGACGCCGCCTCAGCATGGCCGGACAGGAGGTGTGTCAGTGCGCGCCCAGGATCCAAACCCAGGCTGCCAGTAGCAGAGCGTGCGCACTTAACCGCTAAGCTGTGGGGCCAATCCCTGGATAAGGGTTTTTTTGATACCTCTTAAAGTACGTATGTTTTATCTTGTTTTTGGTTGTTTTCAGTGGGAAAATTGATGGAAATACCAGCCTGCCATTTATTGGAAATCTCTGTGTTTTCCATCCTTCTGCTTCTGACCTGGTTTAATAGGTGCGTTAAAAATTTCAGGCTCGGGCCGGCCCCGTGGCTTAGCAGTTAAGTGTGCACGCTCCGCTACTGGCGGCCTGGGTTCGGATCCTGGGCGGATCCCAGGCACGCACCGACGCACCTCTTGTCCGGCCATGCTGAGGTGGCGTCCCACATACAGCAACTAGAAGGGTGTGCAACTATGACGTACAACTATCTACTGGAGCTTTGGGGACAAAAAAAGGAGGAGGATTGGCAATAGATGTTAGCTCAGAGCCGGTCTTCCTCAGCAAAAAGAGGAGGATTAGCATGGATGTTGGCTCAGGCCTGATCTTCCTCACCAAAAAAAAAACTTCAGGCCGCTTTTCATGAGCATTTGCAGTATACTAGTCTCTGCTCTGGCTAGAAATGATGCACTGATAGAAAAGGGACTCGTTCCTATCTTTAAGAAACTGAGTCTTTAAGGGGGAGGTTATTGAAAATGTATTTGCTTGGACTATTTTCCCTCATTGAATTTCGAAAGATTGTTTCTTTTAAAGTCAGGCTGGTTTTCCTGGAATCTTTGTTTTGGTCTGTTTTCATAGTGTTCTAATGAATCATGCTATTTGTGTTATACTCTATACTATGCCTGGCTTTTCATTTATGAGACTATTGAAAGGGTCTGCTTGGTTGCAGCTCCCTGGCAGACGGGGACAGAGCCCTGTCCGTCTCTGGGAGTAGTAAAGGGCACGAGGGGCACACAGTGACTGTTAGATTGAGTGAACCAACGTAGTTATATATGAAGAAGGAAGAGCTCAGACATCATGTCCAAGACTTGGGGAAGCAGCTGTGCATGGAATCTGACATGGATTACCTACTTGAGGAGAACATTAATGACAGCACCAGTCTTCCTGGTACTCCTGCCAACGCTACAGTAATAGTATTATGTGTGCAAGTGCTGGATCTAAAGAGTAGCCTGTTGTGGGCACCGTGGTTGGAGATGGCTCTTTTTTCCAGTGGAACAATGTGGAGCGGCTCTCTGAGCTCTCGGCGGGGTGAGCATTCTTAGAAATGCCAGGGGTCAGCTTATGTGCAGAGGACTCCAGTGATTCCTCCCACTAGGTTCTGTCCCGTTCTTTCACCCCAGCATGTTGCTGCAGTCCTGGGAGCTACCTGGAATGCCAGGCATTTTGTCCATTAGTAGAGGAAGAGCTTGCCCTCCTCCCCTGACCAGGAGCCTCTGACGTGGCTGTCTGCACTTGCACATGTTCTGCGGCTCACCTGTGCTTCAGAAACTCAAAGGGGGCTTTGGGTGACCAACCTGGAGTCAATGTGCGCAGGTGTGAGAGCAAGCAGCGCCAGGTGTGCCTGCTGTGGGCAGGCACATTCCCCAGATGTCTCCACTTTTTTCTAAATGCTCTGACCTGTGGCTTGTTCCGTAGTCAAAAAATAGAAGCCAGACTAAAGGTGAAGTGGATCGTGTGGGTCTGATCTGGGGCCAGCGTGCCATAGTACTAACTCGGCTGTTCAGACCAGGGGCCTGGTGAATTGTGGTTTTGATTTGGTTCTTTTTTTTTTTTTTTTTTGTGAGGAAGATCAGCCCTGTGCTAACATCTGCCAATCTTCCTCATTTTTTGCTGAGGAAGACTGGGCCTGGGCTAACATCCATGCCCATCTTCCTCTACTTTATATGGGACGCCGCCACAGCACGGCTTGACAAACCGTGCGTCGGTGCACGCCCGGGATCCGAACCAGCAAACCCCGGGCCGCCAGAGCAGAGCACGAGCACTTAACCGCTTGCGCCACTGGGCCGGCCCAGTATTTTATTTCTTTTAAAGGCCTCTCAGCCACGTGAGAGGCTCCACAGCTTGTGTTGTTCCTACTTCCACCTGTGTCCTCCTGCAGTTGACATTTCTGATGCCCTGATGCTCTTGCCTCTGCTGCTGTCTCTGTGCCCGGCAAGCACTGAGCTATCTGCAGGGTTACAGCCATGAGGAGGGACATTCCAGAGCACTTGCAGACAGCTGTGGGGATTCCAGAATTTGACGTAGCTCAGTTGCTGGTGGAGGGAACGCCAGTGATAGTGTCTCATGTCCATCAGCAGGGGGTGGCGTGGAGGCGTGGGAATGGTATGGAGCTGGGAGGCCAAGCTGTGACGCCCTTCTTCTCTGCCCTTTGGGCAAGAAGCCTCATCTCTGAGCTGTTTTTCTGTTGAAGAACGGGACAAAGTCACCACCAGGGAGGGAGGTGCTCTGGCCACCACGCATTCATTTGTGCAGTAGTTACGTATGGAGCACCTGCCATGTGCCAGCAGCATACATCCAGGGCCTTGGGACTAGGGAGCATATGCACCTCCCTGGGGCCTCCGTGTTCAGGTCTGGCCCTGAGTTTGACACTTCCCAGAGGTGAGCTGGGTCTGACTCACAAGAGCCTGTGGAGACCCAGTCCCCGTACATTGGTTGCTGGGGAGCCAGCAGTGTCATACTCCTTCCACATGTATCCACATCTAATCAGTGGTGTGCCTTGACAAATGGAGGTGAAGGCAGTGTTGGAGCTCTGAATACCTAGGGTCACCCCTGCCCACAGCAGAATTTCTTTCTGATCCCAGCCAAATTCAGAGCTCCTCTTTTCTAGATTTCATATGGACAGCCCAAGCTTTTCTTCCAGTAAATATGGTCCTGATGATAAGGTTGACTGTCCCCCAATTTCAGAGTCACTCTCTTCTGGGGGGGGAGGGGGAGGGCCTTCAGTAGCTCCATGTGTGGGTTATGTTCTCATCTGCAAAGTGAAGATCTTTATGATCAGACCTTCTTCCTTCCTGGGATGGCCGTCTGTATCCGTCAGAGTTCAGGTTGGAAAACTGAATCCACTCTAATTGTTCTGAAGCAGAAATGGATTTTAATACATGCGAGGAGTTGCTTCATGGTGTTGAAAAGGTTGGAGGAGCAGGTCTCTATGAGTAACTCCAGACATGTCAGCTTTGACCCGCTGTGGGAGCTGCTACCTCTGCCTCAAGCAGAAGAGTGGGAGGTGGGAGCCACCACATGCACTGATCTCTCTGGTTTCAAGGAAAAACTACCACGGCCCCTTGTCAGGGAGGAGGGTCCTGGGCTTAGGACATTGCAGCCTCTGCCATGACTGTGGCTCGATACCCCCAGCTGTGTCTGCTGGCAGCAACACCGACAGCAGCTGAAATCGGCCTCCACCCTCCTGCCCTCCAAATAGCATAAGTATGCCTCATTGAGGGAACTTAGTTCATGTCCAGAAACCCCACTGCAAGGGAGTCGGAATAGAGAATTAAAGCTTCCTGTCTCTGCAGGGCAGGTCAATGTGCCTGAAGGGGGCAGCCCCCATGCCACCCCCGCCATGGGTGTCAGCCAAGGAGAGGTGGGCCGCAGGGCTTTCAACAGCAATCAAGAGAGCTTTCCTGAAGTAATTGGTCACACATGATGAGCAAAAGGGAAAGGGTGTGCTGTTGGTGATAGCATAGACAAACAGGTAGTAACTCGGTAGCAGAGTGTAAGTCACCTGGTTTGAAACTACTGTAGCAGAATTAGTCTGTGAGTTCTGAGTAGTCAGGCAATGGGCTTGTCAGGTTCTCATTAACTTCTTTGGAGGCCTCAAGAACATAATTGAATTGATCTCAGTACTTGGTGTGTGCAGCTCTATTAGTCCTTGCATGGCCTATTTTTGTTTGGTTAATTATTTTTAATAATGTATTAAGCACTGCAAACCCTCCTCCCGATAAAGTCTCCATCTTTGGGAATAGCCTACATGGAGTAAGATTCTGTTGTTGGCCATGTGGGACAAGGAGAGCACATGGAGCTAGTCGTGGACTCCGTGTCCCTGGTGCCCCGTGGTGTAGTCGTTGTCTAGTTTAGTCCTCACAACACCGTGGTGAGCTGTGGGCACTGGTGCCTGTTTTTCAGAAGAGGAAGTTGGCAGCTCCCAGAGGGTAAGTAACTTCCCCAGGTCACAAAGCCAGCAGCTCCCAGAGACTCACTGAATATCTCGGGGGCTGAAGCACAGCGCATCAGCTGCTGGGAGGCGGAGGCGCCTGGGACGAGCCTGACTGGAGAGGAGAGGTGTGCAGACCTGGTGCTGGGCGGAGGCAGGGCGCTCTCCCTGCACCTGCCCCGTACTGTGCAGGGCTTGGCTGGTCCCTTGAGGACTTTGCATTTGAAACAAGAAATGCTCAATTTTATCATTTAAGAGTTTTAAAAAATACAGAATATTTTATGTCAAACTGATTGTCATTTTCTGTTTTTCTCCTTTTTAAAAGATTGTTGACGGTGAGTGGTTTCCTCTCCTTTGTTGTTGGGTTTGGATGGAGAGCTGACACGGGTGAGGGTTGCAGCTGCAGGCATTGCCAGAGCCGTAGATGCGGGGACGCCAGGCGGGAAGACACCTGTGGTAATGCCGGGTCAGACCTGCAGTCAGTCCTCTGCGCCTGCTGAGGAGACTTCACCCCTGGCGCTGAGCTACAGTCCCACTGGATTTTGGAGAAAGCTGACTACCTTAGACTGCCCCCACAGCTCAGGCACTTCTTCATGGCTGGGATGGGGGCTTCTCCTGGGAAGACAGGAGGGTAGCCTCTGCGGAGCTGGGCAGGACCTTCTGGGGTGTGGCTGGGCATGGTGGCTAGCCGTTCCTCTCTGGGGTCTGAGACTGGCCTTTCCCAGACGGGAAGGAAGGTGGTGAGGGTGGTCTACTGGGAGGCCCCTGCCCTGAACATGGACTCACACCTTAGAAAGGAGGCGGCCAAGGAGGAATGTGAGGAGGCTGCGCCAGGACCATGCTGACAGCTGTGTGGTGAGCAGTGATGACGAGGAGCTGTCCAGGGACAGAGACGTGTATGTGACCACCCACACTCCAAGAAACACCAAGGAAGAGGCAGCTACAGGACTCAGGTATCAGCCTGCCCACTGCCCTGCTGCCACCATACTGGGGACAAGCTCCCTCACAGGAAGCCTCTAGCAATATGGGACACCGTTGGCGCCCTGGAGTGGGGGTCATCTTCCCCCTTCTCCATTTCTCAGTGGAGAGGTGGGGCAAGGGGCAACGTATTAAAACTGGACCTTCAGCAAGTGCTGTGAGCCCTCGGCTTGAGAAGGGCTTGTCCAAGATCTGCCCTGCAGATGGATCCAGGTGGGGCTGGATCGAGAGCTGGGCTTAGGCGTTCCCACCGTGACCAACGTGTGCCAGGCACTGGCAGGGTGGGTGTGAATAGCCCCGGGCTGGTGGCACACCCCACCACCTAATGTGAAGAACAGACCCAGTGGCCCCCAGCCTCCTGCAATAGGAATGCTTAAGGGGTGCTGGCGCATCCCTGGCCCAGACAGAGAGGCTGGAAGAGGGGCTCTGAGGGAGTGTAGGCCAGGGATGGGGGAGGACAGGGTGGCTCAGGCTGTCTGCATCTTCTCTTGTTCTCATCGCTCTCCTCCCCATTCTCATAGCCTGCCCCACCATACCCCCTTGGGGCAGTGACTTCCTATAAGTTTCCTGGGTGCCTGTGCTAAGGCAGAGTCAGAGGAGGCTCTTCTAGGGAATATGGGCTGCTTATATGAAGCTGCTTAGAGTGAGTGATTGAATGTTTGAGTTTGCTGAGGAACTGACATGAAGCACTGTGATTTTAGGCCCTCTGGTACTGTCAGTTGTCCGATCTGCATGGACGGGTACTCGGAGGTAAGCAAACCCTGCTGTGTCTTCCCTGCTCCTGGTTTCCAGACTGCTTCAGTGAGAGAATTAGATGAGAGAGAATCTTCTCATTAGGTGGGATTTGACAACTCCATCCTGCAGTCACATCTGGGCTGGCATATGGCTTGTCTCACATTTGTGCATGAAGGGAGAATGTGCCAACTTCTCCTTGGGCCGTGCAGCCTTCAACTCGGGCCCATGTTCCCTGTGCAAGTTGGTCAGCCCTGTGTGTTCCCCATCCTGGCCTAAGCAGGGGAACTGTGGCCCCTGAGCCCTCTGGCACTGTCCTGCCATCTGCCCAGCAGCAGCCCTGGACCTCACTAGGCCTGCAGGTTTGGGTACCTTGGGTCCCTCCAACTGTCGCTTGCTGGGAGATTGGCTCCTGCCTGTCCTTTTAGCTTCAGAGACACCACACATTCTTGCCTGACTGAGACCGCAGAGCAGATATTGTTGGTTCTCCAGACCATCTCCCTGCTTTTCCTGCTGCAGCCCCCTGGCCCTGCATTCCTTCCCACTCATCATCTTGTAGATGGGCGGGAGTGGGATTCTCTGGGCACTGCTGCTCTGGGACAAGGGCAAACATGAAGGCTGTTCCTTTTTATATTTTCTAGATTGTGCAGAATGGACGTCTCATTGTTTCTACAGAATGTGGCCACGTCTTCTGTAGCCAGTGCCTCCGTGATTCCCTTAAGAATGCTAGCACTTGCCCAACTTGCAGAAAAAAGATCAACCACAAACGATACCACCCCATTTATATATGAAGTGTTAAGAGCTGCTTAGGAGAGATGGATGGACAGACAAACAGCCTGCCTGGGTTCTCCATGCAGCCTTACATAGGTTAGCTGCCTCCAATTTCCTGAGCTCAAAGACTGTCTTCAAAACCAACATCTGATATGTAATCTGCTCCTTTGTTTCCAACCCCCTCTTGGATCCTTTCGTTACCTCCAGTATGATGGTGTGGAGCTGGGGCCAGGGCCCTCCCAGGCCGGGGCCTACATCTCTGCTCCTCTGGGTGCTCCAGTTCCAGGGTAGGAGAGAGGGAGTCAGGCACATTGGAATTGAGAACTGTGGTTCCAGCCTCTCTGGAACCTGCACGTTTGCCAAGAAGTTTTCCCCATTTGGAAAGTTTGCCCCTGCTTCCTATTGGCAGTGTCATCGAGGGGCTGGCCCTGGCCAGAGAGCGGAGCAGGTCCGCCCAGCTCTCCCGGGCGTGCTACCTCGTTCCAGGCGTCTGCCCACCCCAGTGACCAAGCCAGACATGGTCCATCTGGCCTGAGGATCCCAGGTGTAAGCACAGCCCCAGAAAGAGCAACCACTGGACTTTTTTTCTTCCTTTAAGAGTCAGAGGTCACCTGTGATTCCACCTGCACCTTAGCATTGATGTGCAGGGATTTTCTGCAGATCAAGAGAACCTCTGCAGGGCAATCCCCTATTTCCTAAGAACGAAATGTGCAATAAAGCCCGTTCTTTGCCTCCTCTTCAGCAGCCCAGGGGATGTAGCACTGTCAGTGTTCCCTCAGAGGCCTCATGTTGCCTGTGGAGCAGTGCCTGGCCCACCCCGTCCTGTTGACCACCTGTTCTCAGGAACTTCACCCATGCCCCAGAGTTTACCTGGCACAGGCCTTGCAAGGTAAAGAGGGCAGGCACATGGTCAGGTGTCCTCTCTCTCTTCTGATAAAATCCATCCTGTGTTTGCCACATGTCCTCTGGTCCTCAGTTCCCACTGCCTAATGTCTGCTCAAGCATAGATACTGGGAGGTGGTGGCAGTAATTGTGGCCTTATCAGCCGTCGATGTCCATGCTGTTGCCCAAGTTACAGCTGTCCTGTGTTTCCAAGAGCTCAGCCCACCTGACTCTGGCTGGACACTGCCTTGACTTCTTCATCCACCCCATCCAATTGACATTCGTTTCAGAAGCTGCTCTTCTGGCCGTTTGGGCTTTGATCTTTTGGGCTTTTGACTGCTCTGTAGGTTTTGGTTGGCAAAGTCTGGTACCCTCTCCTTCCCAAGGGGCCCAGATAACACTCTCTGCTCAACTCCACAGGTGTGTGAGAGCTGCGGATCCTCAAGGGGGTGACAAGGTGGTGCGAGCTGCCCCTAACAGCACAGGGCTTGGGGGTGGCTAGTAGGGGAGAGGCCTTGCAGTGCCAGCCTGCCTCCAACTCTTTCTCCAGAGGGCTTCAAAGCCAAACCAACAGCCTTTTCATGTGAAACATCTTCAAAGTGGAAAAGGGGCCTCCTCTGGCTTTGCTAGCAATAACTGACCTTCAGCTTACCCTTCTGAAGGAGCAGGGACTCGGCACAGAATTCACTTTAAACGGGGCTGAAGGAGTGTTCCTCCTCTATGTGAAAAGAAAATCATTTTATTCTTCATTTTGACTTTTTAACTGTTTGGCTCACTTCCAGTTAGTTTGAATGAAAGTAATAATTTTCTACTTGGAGTTGAGGAGGGCAGGACATCAGTTCTCATCAGTGTGATGTGCAGTGAGTCTGCCTTTTGATTGGACATCATTGCCATTAAGTTCCTTTTGGGCTTCATGGAAACACTGTTTTGTTTCTGACGATACCCAGACTTCAGGAGCCAAGATGACCATGCAGCCAAAATCTCTTAAGTTTTATGCTTGAGGACAAATGGTTGATCATAAAAGTTATATTCCTTCATACTAAATTAAATTAGGAAAAAATGTTTAGTTTCTATTCAAAAACTGCAAAATAGGAAAAGGTTGATATGAAAACAATCCCTTTCCTTTCCTCAATGTACATAGTTCAGATCTTTCTTTGTTACATTTAAACTATATCCATGTACGTCAGTCTGTTTTGGACTCCTCTGCTAGTGTTACAGATGAAAATAAAACCATTAATTTGAAGCAGATATCTTTTTCATGCATTCATTTGTGCTTTGGGATCAGTTGTCGTCGTCCCCCCCCCGCCTTTTGTCCAAGGTGTGTGATTCCTGTCTGCCTCACGGTTAGTGAGTGTATTTTGCATTGGTGTATGTGTGGGAAAGTTGCTTGTCTGGCTACCGACCCAGAAGCCAGTGGGTGAGAGGCCATTCTTGGAGCAGAACCACAAGTCCAGGCCCTGGAATCCATAATCAAGCAGAATCTTAACCTCAACCCTAAGAAGCGAGGTTGGCTGTGGGGTTGTCTGCTCAGTTTGGGTGACACCAGCACAGGAGAGGAGCTCTGAGCAGCGTGGACTCTGGTTGACCTGGGAATTTGGCAGTGCAGCCCTGCCCCCAGCACCCAGACACAGGATTTGCCCTCCGCGTGAGAGTGGGGGCCCAGGGGTGTATGGTGTGCCAGTTAGGGTCCCAAGTGAGCAATGCCGGGGAAGCAGAAAAGGGGAGTGGGTTTGGGATTCCTGATAACAGGTGATGGCAGAATTTGCCCTGTGCCTCCCTGTTGTTCTTCATGCCTGTTGAGTGCTCCCCAGAGAGAAAAGGCTCATGTATTGGGTGCCTAGGGCTGAAGCAAACAACAGTGCTAACCTTTAGAGGCCAACCATCTGTTGGAGACGTTCAAACGCTGCATGCTGTGTGTTTGGCACACTTCTGGTACCATGCTGGGCTCTGGTGGGTACTGAGAAACCCTCCTGGGATGTACATTCATTGACGGAGACAGTCCTGCAGGCCAGTGGAAAATCTAAACTGCCAAAGGTGAGGTATAGGAGTTGAGAACAGGAAGGGACGCTGAGCTGCACTCAAGGTCCAAAGAGTTGTCTAGGGAAAGAGGAGAGGAAAGGGTCCAGGGCCTGTGACGGGTGCCGAGAGAGACCTTCCTGGTGCACAGTAGGTCCTGCAGGCCTCCGTGAGACCTGATGGTGTGATGGACCAGAAACTTCCTGGCTGGCCACCCAGGGCCAGCAGTGTCCCTAAAAATGGTCCTGAAGCCAGGAGGCAGATGAGGCCTCCCTCCCAGGCCAGCTGAGAGAGCAGAGGAGAGCCCGTGAAAGGGTCAGGAGCTGTGGACTCACAGCCTGGCTCTGACCAAAGGGGCCCCTGAGGCTGGTGACGGAAGGGGGTTGTTTCTGGGTTTCCTAAGATTTTTGAAACTTAAATGCGGTCTTGCTTAACTACGTCTTCTGTATTGTCATATAGAAATTTAATTGGTTTTTGCACGTTAATTCTGTATCCAGTATCCCTGCCAAAGTCTCATTCTAATAAGAATCTGGATTCTGTTGAACTCTCCATTCACAACTGCATCATCTGCAGTGAACTGCTCACCTTCCTAATTCTTGGACTTTCCTTCTTCTGACCTTGCTGATCCCTCCAGTCCATCTATTACTCATAAAAGGTGTTGGTGAGCGTCTCTGTCTATCAGTATTTTCACCTAGAAATATGTTTGCTGTAGGTTATTGTGAGATAACTATCGGGTAAGGGAAGTTCCTTTTCCAACCAGGAGGTAGGAATTCGTCTTTTATTTCTGTTTTATGTTGTCACAAGCGGGTTTCTGACCTTATCAGTTCTTTTTCTATTGCAACATGGTAGGAATTTCCCCCTTTAGTCAGTTAATGGAGTGTGTTACGTTATTTGATTTTTTTCAGTGTACACCAGCCTTTCATATCTTCTATAAATCCACCTTGTTCATGATGTTTTGTCTTTCTGTATGTTGCTTACTTTGTTTTGCCAATATTTGGTTTAGAGTTTTTTAAAATCCATGTTCATGACTTCTGTTGCCTATCATTTTCTTAGACCATCTGTGTCAGCTGTTGGTTTCAGTAAGGCTGGTTCCCTACGATGACACTAAGGAGTAATCTCTTTGCACCCTGATTCGAATTATTTGTCCTTGAATGTTTAGTAGAACTCAGCAATAAAATCTCTGAGCCATTGTTTTCATTAATGAAAAGTTTTAGAATACTGATTTGATATTTTTTAATGTATAAGAATGAGTCACATTTTTAAGTCAGTTTTTTAAGTTACAGCTTTCTGGGAATTTATACAATTTGTCTCTACAAGTTTTTGGCATAAAGTTGTTTATAATATCCTCTTATCTCTGCAGCATCTTTTTATCATTAATATTAATTTATGCCTTCCCTTTTATTTTTAATCAATTTTGTCAGAGATTTGTCAATTTCATATTCTGTATATGTTAATTCCAGTGTCCAAAGTCTTTGTGGATCTTACGTTGAAGTTTCTTTGTTTTTTTTTTGTGCGTGCGTGTGTGAGGAAGATCAGCCCTGAGCTAACATCCATGCCAATCCTCCTCTTTTTGCTGAGGAAGACCGACCCTGAGCTAACATCTATTGCCAGTCCTCCTCCTTTTTTTCCCTTTTTCTCCCCAAAGCCCCAGTAGATAGTTGTATGTCATAGTTGCACATCCTTCTAGTTGCTGTATGTGGGAGGCCACCTCAGCATGGCTGGAGAAGCGGCGCGTCGGTGCACGCCCGGGATCCGAACCCCAGGCCGCCGGTAGCGGAGTGCATGCACTTAACCGCTAAGCCACAGGGCTGGCCCCATTACTTTGAAGTTTTTTATTCCTTCTTTGTGTGTTTTGTGAACTTTTTTCTCCCTTACTTTAAGGCCATGTGACTTGGTACATTATCTGAAAATTCTTTGAGACCTGGATTGAAGGTGGGTTTCTCTAGAAAGTATTTGCCTTTGCTTTTATGAGGTGTTTAAGGTTGTTACCAACTCAAGGCCACTATATTTATTTATTTGTTTATCTGTTATACTGTGAAATGTAGTGCACAAAAAAGCACACCTTGCTGAATTACCTCAAAAGTACAGCTCAATTAATTACCATAAAGCAAATGCCCATGAAACAACCAACTGCAACAGGAAACAGAGTATTGCCAACACCTTCGAACCTTTGTCCTACCCTTTGTCCAACCCTTTCTCCTACCTCCCAGTCAGTACACACTACTTTGTCCCCAAGGTAATCACTATTCTGACTTTTATGGAAATTACTCTTTTGACTATAATTTAATTACCAAAACACACAACCCTAATCACATAATTTGGTTTTGCCTGTTTGAACTTTAAATGGATGGAATCATTCACTATGTATTTTTTGAAGGAGGGTGGCTTCTATTGCTCAATATGTTTGTGAAATTCATTCACATTGTGTAGTTCATTTTCCTTGCTGCATAGTATTTCATTAGATGAATATGCTTCAGTTTATCCATTCTTTTAGTCACTTAACTTTTTTGGCTATTAATAGCCAAAAGTGAACATTCTGTATATCTCTTTTGGTGCAGTTTTGCTCACATACCTGTTAGGCATATACTTAAGTGTGAAATTACTGGGTTATAGGATATGAACATTTAGGAAAACTCACAAATATTTGGAAATTAAACAACACACTCTTAAACAACCAATGAGTCAAAGAAGACATCACAAGGGAAATTAGAAAATACCTTGAAAGGAATGAACATGAGAACACAAAATACCAAAACTTCAGGGGTGCAGTGAAAGCAGTGCTCAGGTTGATATTTATAGCTATAAATATCTACATTAAAACAAGATTAAATCAACTAATTGTATGCCTTAAGGAACTAGAAAAAGAAGAGCAAACTAAACCCAAAATGAGCAGAAGGAATGCAATAATAAAGATCAGAGCAGAGATAAATGAAAGAGAAAATCAAGGACACCAAAAGTTGGTTCTTTGTGCAACAAAAGTAACAAACTGCTAGACTGACTAAGCACAAAAAAGAGAAGACTCAAATTACTCAAATCAACAATGAAAGGACATTAGCAAACTTGACAGAAAAAGGATTACAAAAGACTACTATGAACACCTATATGCCCACAAATTGGATAACCTGGATGAAGTGGACCAATTCCTAGAAACAAACTACCAAAACTGACTCCAGAACAAATAGAAAATATGAGTAGACCTATAAGAAATGAGATCGAAACATTATTCAAAACCCCAACAAAGAAAAGCCCAGGACCAGATGGCTTCACTGGTAAATTCTATCAAACATGTAAAAAGAATTAACACTAGTCTTTTTCAAATTCTTCCAAAAAATTCAAGAAGAGGAGGGAACACTTCCTAACTCATTCTATGAGAGGTCAGTATTATCCTGCTACTGAAGCCACTCAAAGGCACTACAGGAAAAGAGGACTGCAGAGTAATATCTCATGAATATAGATGCAAAAAATCCTCAACAAAGTGCACTCCGAATTAAGCAGCATATTAAAAGGATTACATACCATGATCAAGTGGATTTTGTTCCCAGGAATGCAAGAGTGGCTCAACCTATTAAAACCACATTAACAGAATGTAGGGAGAAAGAACAACATATGATCATCTTGACTGATGCAGAAAAAGCTTTTGACAAAATCCAACTCTTGATAAAAACACTCAACAAACCAGGAATAGAAGGAAAGTATCTCAACATAATAAAAGCCATATATGAAAAGCCCACAGCTAACATGCTCGGTGGTGAAAGACTGAAAGCTTTTCCCGTAAGATCAAGAACAAGACAAGGATGCTCACTTTTATCACTTCTGTTCAACATAGTACTGGAAGTTATAGCCAAAGCAATTAGACAAGAAAGAAAGAAAAGTCATCCAAATTGGAAATGAAAAAGGAAAAGTATCAGGGCCGGCCCCATGGCTTGGCGGTTGGGTGCGCGTGCTCCGCTGCTGGCGGCCCGGGTTTGGATCCCGGGCGTGCACCGACGCACCGCTTCTCCGGCCATGCTGAGGCCGTGTCCCACATACAGCAACTAGAAGGATGTGCAACTATGACATACAGCTATCTACTGGGGCTTTGGGGAAGAAAAAAAGGAGGAGGATTGGCAATAGATGTTAGCTCAGAGCGGGTCTTCCTCAGCAAAAAGAGGAGGATTAGCACGGATGTTAGCTCAGGGCTGATCTTCCTCACAAAAAAAAAAAAGAAAAAGGAAAAGTATCTGTTTG